ACAAATTTATGATAAAAAGTATATTTAATACATTTTTAACCCATGGCAAACCCTTATTTTATAAATTTATGTATGAGTTTTTTATTTTGTAATTTGTTAAAACAAAGACTATATTGAATGAGTGTCAATCTTAAGGAGCCATCTTCTATCTAACAATAATTGTTATACAGTGTAAATTGCATCTCGAAATTGTTAAAAAAGAAGTATATGAACAGTAGAAAGAAAAGAGAGAAGTGCTCTAAGGTATAAATGAAATCACTATTCTCAACACATCAAAATGTCTCGAGATACAATAGAATTTAGAACTAAACTCTTCTTAGAAAAATTGCAAAAAAAGAATGAAATTTCTCATATTTGTTTAGTTTAGGCTTATATCTATTTATAGTGACAAAAATGACGCATAACTAAGAGTTATATCACTTAACCAAGAGTTATAATATTTCAACAAACATGATCTTTTACAATAAATAATCACATTTATTCATTCAAACTAAATAATTGCATTCATTTAATTAATCATAATGTCTTTTGGAAAACTTTGAATTCAAAATTGCATTCATTTAAACTTAAGAAATAATTTGTCTATCAATGTTGCCTACAATGTCAACATTTTAAACTACCTTAAATATTTAGTTACAATTATTTTGGTGTTTTTTCAAACAAAATATCCAACATAAACTACAAAACACTTTTTTTTTTTTTATAAATCCATACCTATAACGCCAGAAATCCCTTTCCATTTGGTTTGCCACACTTCTTTGTTTAATTTGTAGCCCTTCATCGAATGTCCTAGGCATGAATGATCCCTTTTCATGAATAAGCTTGAAGATTGTTGAAAATTAAAGATTCAAACAATTATTGGCTTTAAAATGTGCCACTAATATCACGTTTTTTTGAAGTTTATTTCGCCCCACCTTTTCGTAGTGCAAAGGGATTGTTTAAATAGCATGCAAGATGCAATAAAACTCTGTTAATTACATCTTGAACTAACAAATTCAATTGTTAAATTTCATCATACAAAGCCGCAAAATTATCAATTTTACACTAAGATTTTTGTAAAAAATCATTGCACAAAAGAGTTTTTTTTTTTAATTTAATATAAGTGCAATAATATTGTCTATATTTTCCTTATTAGATTCTACTATGAAAGAAGATGACAATAAATCTTTTTTTTAATAATAATAAGTATTTATTACTAATTATGTAGTTTAATAATAAAATTACTTGTAATTTTTAATTATAAATTTAAAATTTAACTTTTAATTTTTACATATAAAAAAAAAATAAGTATCTGTTGGCAGAAGATAATTTTTAAACCATGTGACCTTTTCATTTTAAAATAGAAGAATTCCAATATGAAAAAGCACATTTTCATTTACGCCATTCCTGGCTGCCTTCATTCTTTATTTTGAAAATTTCTTCAACACAATTATCTATGGAAAGAAAAGACAAAAATCTCAGTCCCACATAAACATTCCCCATATATCATCAGCCTCTAACACTCTCAAGTCTCATCAAGCACTAGGCAAAGCCGGCCTCGGTGGGAGCGCGCTTTTACCCGCATTTCACCACCCCAAAGCAACTATTGCTTGTCATTGTTGACAAAACAAACGTAGACCAATAGGTGGGAAACTGGGAACACCCAACGAATGTTAGACACGTTGGCACTGAAAGCGACTATGACACTTGCGAGGGAGACAGCAAGAGACGAGGCCGGAGTGAGATAAGACTATTAGTCAATGGATGATGTTACCGTCTCTGTTTCTTCGGTGAAAGATCTTTTTCCATGTCAATTACTCTTACAAGAAATGATATACTATTTGCGTTCGGTTTTAATAAGTTTAATTTTTAATTGCATTTAGCCCTTCGGCCAAGCGGTCTTAGGCTGCCTGGCAGTGCATTCCCCTTTTTTCTTAATGGGTTCGATTCTTACTCTTGTAAACTTGATAAAAAAAAAAATTTAATTTTTAATTTAAAGTCTTTTAATTTAATTAAATTTTATAAAAATAATTATAATATATATTAAATAATAAATTTTATCAATAAATTATTTAAATTTTATTTTATTAAAGATTAAGTTTATTATAATTGAATGCAAGAGTAATTATAATGTACAAGAGTGTAATATTGTAATATTTTTTTGAGTATTTACAATTAAAATATTTTTAAATTAATTTTTATGCACCTCAAAATTAATTATTCTTTAAACATCTTAAAAACATATCCCCATGTAAATCTGAAGCATCTAAAGAAATTATTTTTCAAAACTTGACTTTCGAATCTCACTGACAAGAATTATGGTATTTTTCGCTAGTGATGAAAATTTTAGTAAAATTTTTGCTAAAAAAAAAGAGAGTAAGGTACATATTGGCCATCACTTTTATTAAAACTTTCAAATTAGTCACTCTTTTTATAAATTTGTAAAGTTGGTCACCCATGTTTCATTTTAGTTGCTACCATTAGTCATTCACCGTTAACTCACTTTTTTCTATTAATTTTAACTGATGACATGGCATGGGCTAAGCAGCAAGTGATTACATGGCTTCCATTACAATTTTACAAATTCAAGTTCGCAAGAAAAAAAAAAAAAAAAATAGTCAAATTAGGCAGCAAAAGAAACTTTTAGAACCTAACCTTCTACATTTTTTTTTTTTTGATAAATTACCTTCAACAATTAAGAAAGCACCTTACCAGAAAAACTACACTTTTTTTTTTTATGTTTTACGAGAAAAACTAGTCCAATTAAGAAACAATAACTTTTGCAACACGGGGATTGGTAGTAGGAAGCAACAATTCTACATTTTTTTTTCTAAAATTTCCATAAGGCTTGGAATTAAATACTCCTTTCCTTTCAAAATAACTTTAATTTGTTGATTTTTTTTCTAAATTAAAAATTTAAGAACATTTTAAGTATTTACTTATATTATTTTTATAAAAAAAATTTATAATAAGATAATAATTAAAGTAAAAATAATTAAAATAAAAAGATATTTTTTATCAAAAAAATTTTAAAAATTAATTTGAGATAAATTTAACAATTTTTTTTTAGGAGGGAAGGAGTATAATATATAAATTATGCATATGAAGAGGAAAATTTAACAAAGTTTTAAAGCCAACCCAAATTCGGTTTTTTTTTTTTTTTATTAGTTTAGTTTATCCAGAATTGTTTACTCTATTTTTGTCTTGATAGAGACCCTGCGTACTGGCCACTGGGTACTGAGCGTTTCTGTTTGTGTTTTATTGTTCTTCATGTCTCCCTGGTTCTATTTTCTTTGTTTGTATATCAATCTAAGCACAATTTCCATTTCAAGGTGCACAACTCTACTACTCTTTTTCTAATTTTTTATATCATGTGCTCAAACTAATTGCTAGAATACCTATTTGAGTCGGTGGAACACTTGAGAGAACTTTATGCTATGTCGTTGGTGTTGGTTGTTAGAGAAGGAGATAAGGAACGTGTTTCTGTGTTTGGGAGTGATTTGAAGTCTGGAGCTGAATCTTTGGTGTTTTGAGGAGATGTGTGATCTGGAAGATTTTGAACATTATTCTGTTATGCAGACCACGCGTTTGACAAAACTGTCTGAGTGGGGTCTGAATTTTTTATTTGTCGGAAAGACACATCTTAAGGTTGGACTCTAACAGCCATCTTAAGCTCACATCCTGACCCTTAAAAAAATGTTGTCTTATTTATTTATTTATTTTTTTTTGTAATAAGATGATTAATTAAAATAAATGAATGAAAATAGAGTTAAAATATAACAAAAAAAATTATCTATCTTAACCAATGAAAAAACAACTATATACTATTAATTTAGAAAAAATCCAAAATTAATAAAGGAAAGCTATTTTGAAATGAATGGAGTAATTATGTCTAGTAAAGGTATAAGACATTGATAGTGTGCCATGCAAAAAATAAAAAAAATAATTGGTATATCCTTTGATTTAATATGCATATTAATACTCACTAGTTTAATTAAAATTTATACTTGAAAGTTTTTTGCTTTAAATTTAAATTTAAAAATAATAATTTTCTAATAAATATGTTTTAAAGTGTATTGAACTAAAGTGTTGCATCAATTATTATTCAAAAAATAATATCTATTTGGTTAAAAATCGTTAAACAATTCATTCATGAATATTTATGCATTATGTGTTTTTTTATCCGAATATTCATGCGTTATTCATTTGGTATGTTATTGTTTTCTTTAATCTTCAACTAATTTTTATTTTACAGGGCTGACTGTAAATGACTTTTCTTAAGGTTTAAACAGCGTTTTTCCCACCAGTCATGCAATATACTGGTACCTAATTAGTAATTAGATTTCCATAAAAAATTAGTAATTAGGTAAAAATAAACGAAACTATGTCTTTTTGTCTAGTTTGGTAAAAAAAAAAAAAAAGAAATACTGTCCAGGCCGTGAAATTATCATAGTAGTCTCAATAAATTTTCTCCCATGTTAATTTATAAATGATACTCAGCAATTGTGCTATCTGAACTCTTTTTTTTTTTTGTTTTGTATGCTTGAAACTAAAAAAATCAAGTTCTAATAATTAAATTGGTTTTAATTAAATATTCGACATATTTTTAGCACCAACCTTATTTACAATATATTTAATTTGAAAAAAAAATAAAAAAAAATTTCTCTATTTAATTATTAAAAATATTAGAGAAAGGGAAGGAAGGGAGGAAAATGAAGGAAAATGAAAAGATGTTGTATCTTTTCCCTTTCCTTCCCTTCCCTTCCCTTTATACCAAACATTTTGTTAAGAAATTAACCCTTCTACCAAGGTCCAAGAACATACCACATATGCCGTAGAGTAGTAGAACTCTCATGCAGTGATCTTCACTGTCATAAATTAAAATTACTTACTAAACAACTCAATCAAATTATTTAAATTTTTGGTAGGCTAAATAAAAATCATTTAAATTTTTGGCTTTCATGAGCAGGCAATGCAATTAAAGTGCAGAATATGGATAGAGTCATCACATACGAAATGAATTATGAATGTGATAATTACCTATAATATAGAGTGAGAAATCCAAATTTGACGAAGTGGTTGTTTTAATTAAGATCAATCGAAATAATGGAGGGGGGCATTTATGTAATTAGTTAGTGTCTTTTGATATACACTTTTATAGTCATTATTGCAAACCAAGACATCTCGTCCTTAAACTTCTCTTTCCCACATTTTAACCCAAGCAAGTTAGGCAGCAAGCCAACTCCAAAAAAAGAGATGCTCCATCAAAAATAACGTTCTCTGTACCCCATGATGTTGCATTGGTTTGGCTAAAAACAGAGTTTTGCTATATGCGTCTTCTGATCATGTTAATTAATTTGATCATCAACATCAAGAAACTCGATGTTAGTAAAAATCTAATAGCCACCGACAAATCAAACTTATGCAATGCTAAGTGATTAACTATTCACGTATATAAAGAAAAAAAATTCCTAATTTACTAATTTTAAGAGTTAAGAATCATTTACATAAAATTTTTATGTAAATTATTTATAAAAAATTTAGATAATTATTTTTCTATTATGAATTATTGAAATTTATTGTGATTTTTTAGATAAAAAATAATTTTTTCTAAAGAAAAGCATAATAAATCTTAATCATTTATAATAATAATAAAAAAAAGGGTCAAGATTTTAGGTTTGTGATGTGAGAAAGAAATTTTGAATTTCAAATCTTAAATACAAAGGAGAACTAATCATGCTAACTTAACCACAACTTAGTAGTTTGTACTGCAGTGTCTGCTACACAGCATTCACACAATATTCCTTGAAGCCGAAGCTAAAATAGGTTGCCGGTTTTACGAGCAACATGCACCCATGTACCCAGTTCGTGTACTTTTACTGCGACTTTAAAGGAAGATTGCCCCTCCAATCACCTTCTTTTACGGTTCCCTCTCCTAGTATCCTCCCTTGGAGACCTTTGAAAAAGACCAATTCCTCTATTTTCACAAGAGTAGTGACATTGTGGACTAAAAACTTGAGATAAATGATGTGATATAAGATATATTATTCAATGAGTTGGAATAAAATAATAAATTTTATTTTTTTAATATTTTATTAATATAGCATCATTAATTCTAAATTTTGGCCTAATAAATTTTGTCCCTTCTATTATTGTTCTTTTCCCAAACCAAGCGCATGATTAAGTCATAATAGAGGATTAGATCAGTAAAGTCAAACAATATTAAAATAATCACAAAGAAAATTAACTAATCAATACAACCATTCTACAGTTTTTACTCTGGTGTCATTTCTGTTTGATTGGAACTCTTCGGGTCCACACCTTCCTTGGTTTATGCCTATATATAGTCCTCATTCTCACTTCATTTCCTACACAAAATTAGCACTTCTCTCCATTCTTCCATTCTTTGCTAAACTTTCTCCTCCAAACCATGCCAGAAGCTCCCAAGAACCCATCTGAGGATGTCACTTTGGAGAAGAGAAACAACAGGGCACTACAATTTCTCGAAGATGTTACTAGTAATGCTGACCAAGTTCAGAGGCGGGTTCTGGCTGAAATCCTCTCTTGCAACGCCAATGTTGAGTATTTGCAGCGACATGGCCTCAACGGACGAACAGATAATGAAACTTTCAAGAAGCTGTTGCCCGTTGTCTGTTATGATGATTTGAAACACGATATCGAACGTATTGCCAATGGGGACGCTTCACCGATCCTTTGCTCCAAACCCATATCCGAGTTCCTGACTAGGTGAGTATACAATGAAAGTTTTTCTTTTTCTTTTTAATTGTCTAGCACAATTATATGAGGTATTAATGCGCCCGTTCTATCAGAATTCAAGAATTAAGCGTCTTTTTGATGAATTCGTGTTTGATTTGTAGTTCTGGGACGTCTGGCGGGGAGAGGAAACTGATGCCAACAATTGAAGAAGAAATGGACAGAAGAACGTTGTTTTACAGCCTCCAGATGCCGGTGATGAGCCAGTTTGTTCCGGGTTTGGACAAAGGGAAAGGAATGTACTTTTATTTCATTAAATCCGAATCCAAAACCCCTGGGGGACTGGTGGCTCGTCCTGTCCTAACCAGTTATTACAAAAGCGCACATTTTAAGGACAGGCCCTATGATCCTTACACCAACTACACAAGCCCAAACCAAACCATTCTCTGTGCTGATTCTTACCAGAGCATGTACTCTCAACTGCTCTGTGGCCTAATTCAAAACCAGGAAGTTCTTCGTGTCGGTGCTGTTTTTGCTTCTGGATTTATTCGAGCTATCAGGTTCCTCGAAAAACACTGGGAAGTTCTCTGTAACGATATTCGAACTGGAATCCTAGACTCAAAAATCAGTGATGAGTCTGTTAGAGAGTCAGTCGCCAAAATTCTCAAACCAAACCCGGAGCTTGCTTGTTATATTGAATTGGAATGCAGGAAAGGATCGTGGAAGGGAATTATACCTCGACTGTGGCCTAATACCAAGTACATCGATGTGATCGTGACCGGGACCATGTCGCAGTATATCCCGACACTTGACTATTACAGTAATGGTCTGCCTCTTGTTTGCACCATGTATGGATCTTCCGAGTGTTACTTTGGACTGAACCTAGATCCATTATGTAAGCCTAACGAGGTGGCTTACACCCTTCTTCCTACCATGGCCTATTTTGAATTTTTGCCGGTGAATCGGATAGCAGAATTTGCAGATTCTGGCTTTGAACCGCTGTCAATGACCGGTGAGCAGGATCAAGAACTTGTTGATCTTGTGGATGTCAAATTGGGAGAAGAATATGAGCTCGTTGTCACTACATACGCTGGTAAATTTTCTTTTAATATGAAACATTGTCCATGGTCAATAACAGTGCTCTATATCTTATTGTAAAAATTGAATATATACTTTGCTATCTAGATCTCAAAATATCAACATGTGGTATTGCAACTTCTTTGTACTCTTGTAGGTCTTTACCGTTATAGAGTTGGGGACATACTCCGTGTGGCTGGATTCAAGAACAAGGCACCTCAATTCAACTTCATATGCCGGAGAAATGTTGTTCTAAGCATTGATTCTGACAAAACCAATGAGGTGGAATTGCAAAATGCAGTCAAGAATGCAGCAGAATGTCTTCTCCCATTTGATGCCACCCTTACAGAATACACTGGCTATGCAGACACATCAACCATCCCAGGCCACTATGTGCTATACTGGGAGTTGAGCCGCAACGGTGAAACCTTAATTCCTCCTTCGGTGTTGGAGGATTGTTGCCTTGTAATCGAAGAATCTCTCAACAGTGTCTACCGACAAGGCAGGGTTTCCGACAAGTCCATCGGGCCTCTGGAGATTAAGGTGGTGGAGAACGGGACATTTGACAAGCTTATGGATTTTGCTATTAGCCAGGGTGCCTCAATAAACCAGTACAAGACTCCAAGATGTGTAAAATATACTCCAATTGTGGAGCTCTTGAACTCAAGGGTTGTCTCCAATTACTTCAGTCCAAAATGCCCCAAATGGGCTCCGGGCCACAAGCAATGGTGCAGTTGCAGTGTGCAGGAGTGAAGAAAGTGTTGTGTATGAAGAGAAATTAAGCAGAGGTTTTATATTGTCATAAAACTACCTAAATTCGCCAAGGCACCCATGTTCCTCTAGAAAATTTAAATTATGGAATAAATTCATTTTAGCTTTTTAATTAACTTTAATTTTTATGATTAATAACAAAAGTGTAGGTTATATAACTGAAAACCTTTTACTATTTTGAGAAAAGATTGGGTAAAAATAAAAAAAAATAAAAAAAAAAAAGTGAAGAGAAACAAATTCTTTTAAACCAAACAATTTATTATTAGGTGCAAAAATACCAATACAACAATTAAGAGTTTGGGTTCAAAACTTAGTACAAGTGAATAGAGATTTGGAGAAAGAGAAGACTATCCTACTACATACTTCATCATCTAACGTACTGGAAAAATTATTCTTAAAAGGAGTTCATAGTCATATCTAAGACTACTCAAACCCAAAAATATATGGGGCAAAATAGGTCTCTCTAGAAAAAATGCCTTTCCCAAACATGTTTTAAATGTCATTTAGGTTACTGGTTATCAGTGTCCTAATAAGAGAAACAAGTCCAAAATGTGCACCAAGGGTCCAATGCCAATCACTGCTGAATTTGAAGCAGCTTTGCCCCACATTGTCGCCCCTGCTTAGGTACATATATGGTCGATCAACTGCTGAATATATATGATCCATGGAAGTGGAATCTTCTTGTGGGCAACTATACTAAAATGTTTTTCATACTAATTAACTCTACTCTGCCTCCTAATGAATTCATACCTAACGTTTTTTAACAATTCAAATTCATATGGACATGACTCAATAAGATGGACTTCAACAAGATTAATACTATTTTCTCGATGACCAAGAAGTAATTCAAATCGTCTTAGATTAATTACGTGTTTCAGATGGTAAAAAAATTAAAATGTAAGATAGAGCCTCCCCAAGATTATATTGCACAAAGGAGCCTAAATTAATGCAATTATTGGAACCATCCCATGTGCCATACCTGTGAATTCCAAGTAACGAAAGAAAAGAAACATTACCCCATACCCATGACATGCCCTATGCTACATCACTGAATACATCCATCTCTCTACAAAATTGATCAATTTGCAGAAGTCAAAAAAGGCATCCAGAACTCCATGAACATAAACATCTGCTTAATTTATCGACAAATTAGAGAACAGAACAACTGTCAGGACTCTGAAAATGTAAAATAATATTAGAGGAACGCAATCTTAGCATTAGACGAGGCCCGAGAGAATCCCATCATCTGTGACCTAATCTTTTGACGTCGGAGAGAGTCTCTGTGGCTGCATTGTCCTGTGCAAAGTGTCATTTCTTGCAGGGCTTTTCCATGCTTCAGTAAATACTTTGCCAGACTAACTTCATTCTCACATTCTAAGAATCCGTAGATCTTTACTACATTAAGATGGTTAAGGAAGGACTTCAAACTTTCGGTTTGGGATTCCCAAAACTGTTCCTCCGGGGATATAGGCATGTCCCACAAGTCCTTATTCCATTTCTGAGAAGGGTAAATAGTGAAATCATTAGGTGAATAGTAACATGAACCAAGCAGTCTATAATTGTGTATTGTGTAACAGAAAAATGGAATTCACAAGCGCATACTCTTCTTTGAATCTTGTAGTCATTAATAATCTTGATACTTAGAGTCTGCAGCATGGAAGAGCACCTGAATAGGCATGCTAATCCGAGAACATTATGCTTGTTGAAAGCGGTATGCAACTCCAAAGATTTGAGATTGTCAAATGGATGCAAAACATGCATAAAATAGTTCTTGTTTGATAGAATCTGCCACAGAGAAACTCAGGAAGTCATACTTTATAATCATCAAGCAGATTCGATGATCATAAATCTTTTTATCAATAAAGACCAAAGAGGTTAGAATTAGTTTTTGTAGTGGTTTTGAACTCGAGTTAGACTTGAAAACCAAGGTTTTAATTTCAATGGGTACAAACTTGGGTCAGCTTTTGTTGTTATTTTGATAAGGGGGAAATAAATTTCAAGGTTTTAATTACTAAAAGCTTTCAACTTTATACGACCCTTTCTAGAATCAAATTGAATTATGTCAAAGGAGGGAAAAGAAAAGGTGTATACCTCAACACATTGGCTTTCAAGTGTAAGGCACTGCGCATGTGAGAGTCCAGACAAAAGATTGGAGACACTCTGGAGCTTAGCTACACTTAGAGATTCATGGAGCACTAGGAAACCGAGGGAGGCCTCATGTAGGGAACCCAGATTCTGAAAACAGCTAGTTTCAGTGATGGCATTGTACTCCCAGCAAATAAACCTGAGGCTTGGGGCATCAATCTTCACCCAGCTCTTATTACAGTAAGCATCAAAACAACTCCCCACTCGCAGTCTCTCCAATCTGTCTCCTGAAACATCCAATCCATGCAAATCAGAACAATTTTCCAGGGTCAAATTTTCCAGCATCCTGCAACTAACCTTGAGATTTTTCAACCCAAAACACTCATCGAGATTCAATATCACGAGGCGAGGGAAAGATGAATCTATAAACAAATCCAAAAGGGACGGTTGGTCGTCTAAATTGACTAGTGAGAGCGATAACGTGTGGAGTGATCGAAAACCACCTCTCATGACAGTCACCGGCGGTAACCTGAACCCTGGATCACAAGATTTCAACTTGAAAACCCGAAGAGACTCGCTAGATATAACGCTTCGTGGGAAATTGAAGTAATCGTGGGTAGCAACCTCGACATCGAGTTCTTGCACATTCTGCCTTATCGCACATCGAATCAATCCATTGAGACCCGAAAAACTCAAGGCAGCTCGAAAGCGAAGGACCCTTAAATCGGAGTTCTTACTTCGGAGAGACAACACCTGGGTGATAAAATCCGTTCCCCTGTTAAGCCAGTGGAGTCTCTTGGCGCCGTTGGGATTGAGGGTCCGCGGTGAAATCCCAGTTGGGTCAATGGTGGTGAAATCGAGGTCCGGGAAAGAGGACCAGAGAGATCGCCATCTTTTCGACAGAATGCATGTTTGAGCAATGGTTTTGATGTCAAGGAGGAGGAGAATGTGGTAAAGGACGGCGTCGGGGAGATCGCTGATTCGGTCGGTGCCAGAGTCGGCATCATGGTCTGCAAACCAAAGCTTCTTCCGCTTAGCAGATCGTGTTTCCATTGAAAGTTGAGGTTTTCCGTTTTCTGTTTTTGTGAAGAGAGGAAGAGAGATGGTAGTTTGAAGTATTCAAAAGAGTGAAGGTGAGAACGGGAACATCGTTCTAGTTTGTTTCGAATAAAAAGAACTAGTGTTTTTTCATGTTTCGAAATTTAGGAGCATTTATCAAGGAGCAAATTTTGGGAGGAATATATACTAGTAGTATTTTTAAATTTTTTATTTTTAATGGCAAATACCTTGTGTTAACTGTTAATGATTTGAGGTATGGTTGAGTTTTTTTTTTTTTTTTTTCTGTATTTTTTTACATGACACTTCATAAAAGCATCAATTTATTATTATTAAATTAATTTTAATTAATATTTTATATAATTTAATGGTTATATTAATGTATAAGACTCTTTTAAAAACAATTATCAAATAATAATAACATAATTTTTCTTATAGTAAAATACTAAAAATTAGAAAAACTACAATTATGATACTTTACAACAATGTGAAATACAACCTTAACTAGGTAATCTAATTTGAACTCATTTTGGTTTAGTTGTTAAGAATAGTAAATAATTGTAGCCTTATTTAATAGTGTCTAGTTATAGCAGTTGAATTATAACTTATAGCTCATAACTAAATTAAAATTAGCCTACAAAAATATATTTTGAAAATATTGTAATTCCAATATGTGCACAATATGATATGTCATTATATAATTAGCTCATTTTATTCAAGAATCCACCCATTATAAGATGGATTATCAACATTTAATGAGATGGATTTTTAAATTTTAAATTTAGTTTTAATGAAATAAAATGATGTAATTTAAAATTAGAACTTTAATTTATTTTAGGAGTCGAGACCAATATGCACTTTTCTCCTATATATATTTTGAAAAGGGAGAGATAAGGGATTGAACATAAGAAGAACAAAGCACATAGCATATTTTGTGTGCGTATATCATGTTCTAGAACATATTAGACATAGATTTATTTATATACATCATGATCAACTATATATTTGTAGGATGTTAATATGCATTCCAAACCCCTTTTTGAAGGGAAAAAAAAAAAAAAAAGTTCAACTTGGGTTAACCCGTGAGTTGACTCGTGACTCATGATAGGTGGGTTAGGATTGGTCTTTATTGACCCGTGACCCATTTTGACCCAATCCTAACCCG